GGCCTGCAAGCAGCCGCCTTGGAACAGCTGCTGAAGGGACGCGCTGGGGAAAAGGAGCGGCTCCGACGTGCGCGCGCTGGGTCGGAGCGCAGCCCGCAGAGGGCGCGAGGCTCGCCCCTGAAGCTGCGGAGGGGGCCTGCTGGGTGCGGGCCAGGAGCCCTGCGGGCACGGGGAGCCGGAGGGGGGCCACCAACCGGGCCTCCCCTCCGGCATGAAAATAGGCACCACTCGAACCCTGAGCTCCCGACCTTCCTGCCCAAACCTGCTGCTTGCCCGGCTTGCTTCTCGGGAAATGGCAACCACAGCCCTTCCCATTGCTGGAAAAACGTCAGCTTAGAGCCATCCCGACTCTCCTTTTATCCCCTCTCTCGGAGCAGAAGCAAGTCCTGCCACGTGTTCCTCTAAATACGTTCAGAATTCCGCTTCTCTCCGCAGCAGGTGCCACCCTGGCCCGCCACCATCATCTCCGTCCTGCATCATTGCTGTCACTTCTCACTGCTCCCCCAGCTTCTGCCCCTGAGCCCCCGCTGGCTGCGGCCAGAGCCTCAGTCAGAAGACACACTCCCATCGTCTGCTTCTCGGCGGGACCCCCGACTGCTCCACATCTCACGGAGAAAACCTCTGGACCCCGCAGGACCTGTCCCCTGACCTCTCTGGGCTCACAGCCATCTGTCCCTCCTGCAGCTCCCCGAGTCCTGGCCTGGAGCCATCCGGGCGCCCCCTGTCCCCCTGCCCTCCTCAGGGCTGTGGCTCCGCCCTGGGAGCCCTTCCCCAGCAACCCAATTTTAATTACAACCCCCTGCTCCCCCTACCCTTCCCTGGCTTTATTTTGCTCCTTCGCATCTAGGGAACCACTTCTAATTCGCTGTTTATCCCATGCATTTGCTTTGTCTAATTTCTCTCTCCTCTGTAGGGTGTAAGCTACGTGAAAGCAGGGTTCACTGTCCTTCGCTCTCTGTGAGTCCCCCGAGCCTGGAACATTCCCAGGGCGGTGCCTCCAAAGGTGCAGCTTGAGAGAACGAGTTGAAGAGCTCCATGTACGCCCGCCTGGAGCATCACTGTCGCCTTCTTTCTATAGATTCTATGTGCATTTTTAATACAGTGCAGATGTTTGTCAGGGTTTCGTGTCCTAAGTTAATTAGGGATTCAGTGACAGACTTTTTAACGACTGCTAAAGTTTAAGACCACTGACAACCACCCATGCATCTCACTTCAGGCAGCCTTCCCATAGCAAAGCCAATCTTGAGATGAGTATGAAAATAATGAAAAGTGGTAGTAAAGCTATATTTTTAAGAAGATTAGTGTCACTGTAAGAAACATCATTCTCTTTGTGGACTATGTCTTTTGTGGACTGTAACTCTATTGTGGAACGTGTCTTATTAACTGCTGCTTAAAACTTAAGACTATTATAGATCTAATTTTAAAAATCAGAATTTTGTAGAAAAATGTAGATTTGTTCTATATCCTGTTGTCAAATTAAAAACTTGATGCCATAGGATGTCCTTGGATGTTACAAGCTCTAACGCCAATAGAACGATTTTATAAATAGGATGAAAATCCTGGAACATTTCCTTTTTATTTTCTCACTGATAGCTTCGGTTGCTGCTTCATTGGTCAAAGTATCTTTATCAGCGTGCTAATGAATAAAACCTGAATCTATGAAATCTTAGAATGCAATCCCTACTATTCATTTCTAATACCTAGAAGGCTCTTAATAAAGTTTCTTGTTGTCATCAATTTCTACTTCATTGATGAAAAATATAACCAAAAAATGACACAGTTCTTCTCAACCCATCAGAATTCTTTTTACATTGTATCAGGTTTATCATGCAACCTTTTTAAGGAACATTATTTGCCTTTTCTAAACTTAAAATGTTGATTCATTAATTTCTGTGCTGCTGCTCTAAAAAATACTCCATTTACTACCATATTCCTTAAAAGTCTATTCTAAAAACATTCTTAGAGCACTGATAACACTGCGTTTATCCCTATACAACTGCAAAATAATGTTATTTGCCTCTAAATAGAAGACCTTTGAGCCTGGGGAGGCAGATTCCTCAGGGGTGAGGGAGGGAGGTGCTGAGTCCTGTGCGATGGGTTAACTGTGAGGCACTAGCAGGGGGCTGGAACTGGGCTCTGTGGTTTAAGAAGAGATACTGGAAATTCCTCATAGGCAGGCGGCAATTAAATCCATAACAGAGATTAAGGTTTTGAAGGGAAATCAAGAATGAGCGTAACTTCAGCCCTTTGCATAATTTCAAGAAGAAAGATTGGAAAGCTATTGCTAATTATATGGCAATTATGTCTTGATGTAATATTTTAGACGCCATAGGTAGTGCCCATGTTCTAACTGATTATTATTCTATGAAACAGTATAAAGAGATAGGTATAAATACAGATGGATATTTTAAAGATTATATATATATATATTCTTTCTCTTTAACCTCCTGCAAGAAAAGATTGGTCACTCCTGGTGTAGAGTGAATACGACAAAGCATGCACAGCAGCTTTATTTAAAGCGGGTGGGAAGGAAGAGCTAGGGGAGAGAGAATGGGGCCCTTGTTTCCAAAGTCAGGCACAGAAGGAGGTGGGGAGCGGGGAACGGGGGTGTCCCTGGACAAGCGTGTAAGCGGGAAGAGGACTGACTGCGGGGTTTGGAATTGACACGGCGGGGGTCATGGGCAGCTGCGGTGCTTGCAGGGCTGGGAGCTGGGTTCGGGAGGCCGGGTGTGATGTGAAGGCCGAGAGCCCATCGCTGAGGGGTCCTTTCCTGAGAAACGTGGAGGCGAAAGGTGGGAGAGATGCAGGTGTTGCCTGAGAGCAGCACAGGGCCCGGGGGAGTCCTTGCCGCGGGAGAGCGAGCGGGCAGAAGGGAGCCGTGGGGACGGGCCGAGGGTGTGAGCGGCCAGGACGCCTTCCTGGGCCTCGCAGGGGGGAGAGGAGGCCACGGGAAGGGGCTGAGGCTCCGGGAAGCAGGGGGGCAGCGCTGGGACGAGGGACCTCTCCCTCACAGCCTGTTCATTCTTCAGTCACGGTCCCCTGGCGTTGCCCCTCCAAGGTCCCCGGTCTGTGTCCAGACAACGCNAGGCGAAAGGTGGGAGAGAAATGCAGGTGTTGCCTGAGAGCAGCACAGGGCCCGGGGGAGTCCTTGCCGCGGGAGAGCGAGCGGGCAGAAGGGAGCCGTGGGGACGGGCCGAGGGTGTGAGCGGCCAGGACGCCTTCCTGGGCCTCGCAGGGGGGAGAGGAGGCCACGGGAAGGGGCTGAGGCTCCGGGAAGCAGGGGGGCAGCGCTGGGACGAGGGACCTCTCCCTCACAGCCTGTTCATTCTTCAGTCACGGTCCCCTGGCGTTGCCCCTCCAAGGTCCCCGGTCTGTGTCCAGACAACGCAGTGGCACCTCCGCACCCCCTGCCCTCTGGCCGTGACCTTCTCCCGCCACCTCTAAAGTACAGGCTCTGCCCCCAGGCTAAGTTCAACCCCGTGTTTGCCTCCAAGGCGGCAGTGACCTGGCCCCACGACCTCTCCAGGCCTTTCTCTTACCATTACCTGCCCCCAGCCAGGGTGGGCCTCTCTCTCTGGAACCCTCACCCGTTGGTCTAGACGTTTCCTAAGGGCCCCTTTCTTCCATGAAACTCCCCAGCCCCCGATCCCACCCCACGGCCCCCAGACCTCACATTGATATGTCATTTTCATTGAACTCTAACTACATATTATAACTCTCTTAGAGCAAAATACGAGATTTTCTCTTACAGTATAATTATTTTTATAGTTCATCTCATCCCCATATTACATTATAAATTTCTTGAGGGCCAGCGTTTTGTTCTTTGTATCCCCTGGAATGCAAAGGCTATTGTCTAACAGGCTCTTTTAGTATTTGTGTTCATTGAGTTCCTAATAGATGCCGGCACTGGGCTAAGTGCTGTACAGGGACAATGTCACGTAAACCCTGCGAGCAGCAGTCTGCACAAGGCCTCACAGATGATTAGTGACCGAGCTGGGATGCAGACTCTGTATCCTGACCCCCCAGGACCCATGCCTGAAACTCTACAGGGTGCCTCTCCACCCCCCCAAATGTATACACACTTTGAATAATTATAAAGGCAGTGTTTATTAGAATACATTTCATCTTCACTTAACAGCTGTCAGCTGATAAAGTGTGTATAGATTCTGGGGGACACCCTGTAGTTACACTGAATCATAACGATGATTAAACCAAATTTCAAGGCACAAGTTTGGAAGTGCGTGCGGAAAGCTGGACCTGTGACAACAGAGAACTCCCCTGGCAGTGGCCCAAGGTGTGTGAATGGCAGCCTTGCTCTTGCTTTGTGGCCCCCCTCTGCAGGCCCCGGCCCTGGCCTCATGGGGAAAGGCACGCACCGCACCAGCACCTGTCCGCTGCTGTCAAGCCTCTGGCTCCCGTTGCTCCTTGTCACATTAACCACACGCCCAACCTTTCTGCAAAGTCACACGGAGCTGCCCTGCTTCAGGTTTCACAGAGGCATTTTCTCCCTGCAGCTGTTTGCAAATCTCTGACTCATCTCAGTTCCAGAATAGACTCCAGGCTGAGACCTCTCATGCTAAATGATAAAACCTAGAGAGAAAAGCAAACTCTGTGCGGGGAGAGCTTGCTCATTTTACAGAAAAAAAATAAAGTTAGATTACTACTTTGTATGTACCACACCAATCGGTGGACTCTAGATAGAATAAAGTCCTAAAGGTAAATGGCAAACTACAAAGCTAATAGGACAAATTCCAGGAGACAGTCACTGTGACTTGCATAACATAGGAGGTCAAAAAATGCCATGACTTTATCAAGGTAAGGCTATCTGGTCAATGAAGCATGCCACAGACAAAGTTATCGGGTACGTCCACATGGGGAGAAGGTTTGAGTGTTATTAAACCCGACAAGGGATTAATATGTGGATATAGAATGAACTAGAAAAAACTGACCAAAAAAGGACATGAGCTCCAGCGTAAATGGACAGGGGATGCTTTTCCCTGGTGCCTAGAATGATGCCTGGAATGTAACAGACACTAATATTTTGTTGAATAAATGAATGGTTAGCTAAAAGATGCAGAAATGCTCAAATTCACTGGTCATCAGATAAATGCAAATTAAAACAATGCTATTGCACCATTTTACATTCATCAGAAAGGCAAATATTAGAAAGAAGATGGATGCTGTGGGGTGAGGGGAGTAAACAGCTACAAATGATCTGGAGAACCATCTGGGAAAATTTTGTGAAATTAGGTATGTAGAGACCCATGACCAGCAATCCCACTCCTGAACATGTGTGGCCCAGAGGAAACTTTGCACAAGACTGTAAGGGGAAAATATGATGCTATCTGGAGCAACCGTAAATTCAAGACCACCTAGCTGCCCATCAGGTGAAATTGCTAAATAAACAAGGTAGATGCCTATGAAATACTATGCAGTAGTTAGAACATAGTAAGGCAATTAAATC